GGGGGGGGGATGTGTGGTCTGAACTCACCGTAGATGGAGGCTGTTCCACCTCCCATAGAGCAGCCTCTGTCCATGTGATGAGGAGTCCTGTGGCACCTTATAGACTAACTGAAGTGTAGGAGCATGCATCTGACGAAGTGGGTCTTTGCCCACGAAAGCTTATGCTCCTACACTTCAGTTAGTCTATAAGGTGCCACAGGACTCCTCGTCACTTTTGCAGATTCAGACTAACATGGCTACCCCTCTGATACTTGACACCAGTTGATATAAGTTACACTGACAAACATTTGTCAGCACTGTGTTGGTGAGAGAGCTACTTCTGTTTGCCTAGCTTCGGCAGACAGAGGCTGCTTCATGGCAACCTCCCCCACCCTTTGCAGCCCCTCCAGCAGCCTTTGTCCTTGGGGAGCTTGGACCCCCATGGACAGGGTTTGCTGCCAGGGACCAGCCCTTGTCCAGGGCGGGCCCAGGCTCACTGCAGACAGGCTGCGCCCCGTTGGACTGTGGAGCAGCCTCTGCCCATGGGGAGTTGCAACAATTCTTAGTGGTTACATGGTTACTAAAATGTGTGGTAGCAGGGGCACAGTGGGAAGGAGGCAGTACAGCAGAGCTGGTGCTGGGGGATCCAGCTTTGAAGCTGGTTTTCTCCCATTCACTACCATCTCCTGCTCTCCCCCGCCATGATGCTTCTGATACAAGGGGGTGGGGTAGGGGGAATGCATGTAGTGGATAAGGTTTACCAGTAGCCTAAGCTTATCGGTTAATCATATAGTTGACAACAGGATGACATCCCTATTAAGCACTTGGATTCAGAGACTGAAGTGATAATCTCACTTTTAACAACAGTATTTGCTTCTGCTGGTGTAGAAAGAATATTTCTTCCTTTAGGCTTTGTCTACACTGCAGGGTTTTTGCAGAAGAGCCGCAAAAGCTTCTTGCACAAAAGTAGGTCGCAAAAGCAATGTGCTTTTGCATACGTGTCCACACTGCATGGACGCTCTTGCACAAAAAAGCTCCGATGGCCATTTGCAGAATGGCCATCAGAGCACCTGTGCTTTTTCTGCTAGGCGCTCTGCACAAGAAACCCTTGAGGAGCATCCACACATGCCTTTTTGTGCAAGACCTGTAGCGCAAAAGTTATTCCTTGTAGGGAGAGGAATAATTCTACCGGCAAAAACCCTCTGTCCTGTCAATTTACTGTTTTGGTCGGGGGGTTGCACAAAAATGCGCTTGAGACATGGGCACTCCACCGGTTTTTGCACAAAAAACATGTAGTATAGACATGGCCTCAGACTAACTCATTCCAAACTGAGAATGCATTTGGGTCCTGAAAAAGCAGGAAAGATTTTCTTGTCCAGATTATGAACAAACAGGAAAATGAAGGTGATGTCTGATTTATCTGAAGAAGCTGATATTTAGGTTTCTTATGTTGAGTTGGTTGACTTAGTCAGTTTAATTTTCATTTTAAAAATTAAACTATTTTAGTTAAACAATTTTAACAAACCTGTTTTTAAAAAACTTGAATGTTTAATTAAATTCAAATTCATATGCTTGTTTTGTTAGTTTGCTGTTGAAAGAAAAAAATCCAGAATTCATTGTTTTAATGAAATAAAGCAGTTTAAATGTCTGCATGGTGATTCTCTTCTTAATACTGAACGGCAAGAAAATCCTCCAAATATGAATGATTACCCTGTTGTATTGGAGATGGTTCACCTTCCAATGACTTTGTAAATATCTGCTTGTTATCTTTGGTAAATGAAATAACCAAACTATCATTAGTTTTACAGCTCTAACAGAAAATGAATCTGAAACTTCTCCAAAATAAATCAGTTTAAAAATGTTCTAAAAATGAAACCTACATCTGTCGCTGAGTTGTGAAGAACATGTATTACACGTTTAGCAAGAATGTAGTTTTATGTAGAAAACCATGATTAAATCAAGGCTTGATCTGAGGAAGTGGGTCTGGCCCACGAAAGCTCATCACCTAATAAACCATCTTGTTAGTCTTTAAAGTGCCACATAATCCTGTTTTTTGTTTCAGCTATATCAGACTAACACGGCTGCATCTCTATCACTATGATTAAATCAAGTCTTCCTGAATAGTGACTTAAATCATGACTTGAATCAACTCTAGTCCTTTCCTATTTCTGTCACGAGGGTGAAAGCCTAAGCTTCACTCTGCTCCACAGCATAAACCCTGGACTTGTGTTACACAGCCGAAGGTGGCTGTAGGCCACCCTAGAGGACTATGGTCCCTCCTTGACAGAACACTTGAGTTTTGGGATCCTATCTGCTCCTGCCAGCCTGACATTCCAGCCTCTTTACTATGACCCCAGGCGGCTGGCACAATCAATAAGCTGCCCTGCATGGCTAGGCTGGAGCAGAGGTTGTGGGGCTCCTTCCTGTTTGCCAGGCCCTGCCCTGTACTGGCTGCCATGTTCCCAAGCACCTCACCTTCTACACCTCTTGTGTTACATCTGGGGAGCAGCAGCTCCAGCTCTGAGTCTGACTCAGTATCCCAGAAAAACTCCACCACTTTCAGGGAACACATCTGCTCCTCCGCTTTTTTTCGGGGGGGGAGGCAGAAAAGCAGATGCGCTCTTTTGGAAGCCCTGTCTTCCTCCTCCCACAAGGAAGAAGGACTCTTCCAAAAGAGGAGGATTTTCCGAAATTTGGCCCAGTGTCGAGGGGCCAAATTTCAGAAAAGCCTCTTCTGACAAAACTATCAGGAAGAGGTATGCAAATTGTGGAGCACGTTTTTGTGTACCGTTTTCTGGTAGATCATTGTGTAGACATAACCTGAGACTGCAGAGGCACAGGGTTAGTGAATGGGACTGAACGGCTGTCCCTTTGTCCGGGACCCTGCTTCAGTAGACCCCCTCTGGGCCCTCTACTACACTTTGATGCAGGCATTTTGGCACTTGATGCCTATCTCAGGTGCCTGCACCCTTGTGTGAAAATGGGAAGCATGTGGAGAGCTGCATGGGCTCTCTGGGTTAGCATTTGTCTTGGGTGAGGCTTATGGCCTGTGATGCACAGGCTGCAGCCAGAGGGCAGTGGTGCTTCTCCTTTCAGAGTGGCCAGCTGGAGCCTCTGCTCTCGCGCTTCACTGAAGAGGAGGACCTGCAGATGAAGCGGATGCTACAAAGGATGGACATCCTAGCCAAGGTTGGGAGCAGCCCAGCCTGCATGGTCATGAGGGTCTGAGGAAGTTCTCATTCCCTGTTCTCCAACCCAGGGTGAGACAGAGTCGACACTGGCCAAAGGATGCGGCAGGAGGACCTGCGCACCCATGCTCCAGCATGGCCTCAGTGCTAGAAGTCTTTGGGGCAACCATGGAATTGCTTGTCCAGCTCTGTGACCTCTCCCTGTTCAGTACTTTGCTAGGGTCCCTGGGCTCCGGGAAGTGCTCACAGTAATCGCTGGCCTGCAGGTGAGGTAGACTTACCAACTGCCAGATCCCACACAGCAACAGATTTAGCTTCCACCTGGCAGGACTTGGTCACTGCATGTGGCCTAGCCTAAGACGTGTTTGTCCTCTTCCAGAGAGCCCTGGAACTAGAAGTGAGGCTGATGGTGGACGCTGAGCAGACCTACTTCCAGCCAGCAATCAGCCGGCTCACCCTGGAGATGCAGCGCAAGTTCAACACGGAGAAGGCTGTCATATTTAACACCTTCCAGTGCTACTTGAAGGTGAGGGTCTTTGCCCAGTGCCACCTGGAGGCTGGGGATTTAGGGTCCTAGATGCAGCAGTGACAACAGACCTCCAAGCAGTGGTGGCAGGCAATGGGGTGGAGATGTCAGCTGTGGGAGGTCTGCTTGTGAGGGATCCAGTTCGTGTCAGAAGAACCCCATGGGCAGGCGTGGAGCATTGCACCCCTTCTCCCACTGGACAACATGTCTGTGGAGCACGCGACTCTTCTTGGCCACACATGGCCCCTGCTCCGTCTCTCTGCTGCAGGAGGCGTATGACAATGTGACGATAGATGTGGAGCTCTCTCGCCGGGAGGGCTGGCACTTCGGGGCCAAGCTGGTCCGAGGCGCGTACATGGAACAAGAGCGGGTTCGAGCAGCCCAGGTGGGCTATGAGGATCCCATCAATCCTTCATATGAGGCGACCAGTGAGATGTATCACAGGTAGGCGGGCCAGAGCTGGAAGAGTGGGATGAGGAGGTGACGTGCTGTACATGTCTCTGACCACCTGTGATCTGTCTTGCAGGTGCCTGGACTACATCCTTGAGGAACTCAGATACAGCCAGGAAGCCAAAGTGATGGTGGCATCGCACAACGAGGACACAGTGAAGTTCACCCTTCGCAGGTAGAAAAGCTGCTCATGGATGTGGCAGCGGGGCAAGAGCTGGGGGTGCACAGCCTCAAATAGCAGTGGTAGGGCGTGGTTGCAGCAAAGCAGCTGTGTGGGAGCCTAGGCTGGGGATAGCAGGTGCGGCTGCCAGATGGGATTGAGGGGTAGCAGCCAGGGGAGCTGACACTCACCGGGCCCCTGAGCAAGGTGGTGGCTCTGCACTCCCAGAAGGGTCTGGACCTAAGGGCTGAAGGGGGAAGAGCATAGGAGCCAGTCTTCAGCGCTGTCCAGAATGTGCTGCCAGGGGCTCTGGAGCACGCCATACAGCACTCCAGCAGTAATTTATAGGGTAGCGGTTGCAGCTGGGTTTGCCAGGTCCTGGGGCTGTTGCCGCCTTTCCTCCTGTCCCCCTCAGCAGACCTTCTGGCAGCAGAGCTGTGTGGGGTGCTTGCACAGCATCTGGCTGCACTAGCAGCAGTCACTGGCCAAGGCTGTGGAAAGGGGCTAGGAGTCAGAGCACCTGTGCATTGCATGGAGCTGAATAAATGGCACCTTTCTGTGCAGTTCAGAGAGTAGCCCCAGAAGCACAATTGAGTTGGATCCCTCAGGTTCCCAGCCAGTAGGAGATCAGACACTTGGCGGAAACAGCTTATGGGAAAGGGATTTTGTTGCTTGCTTCAAAGTGACCTTTCTGGCTTGTGGGTGTAAATGCGTTAGCTCAGCCCACCACTGAATGTCAGAATCTTGCGTTCCATGTCCAGTGTGGGTAGAAAGGCCAGCAGCTGTGGCAGAGCCGCTCAGTACTGTGAACATGTATGAAGATGTGCTGGGCTGTAGGCTGTTCACGGAGCACTGTGTGCTGGGTGGATCCACGAGTGATGGCATGCAATGGTGCCAGGAAAGAGCTGTGCCAAGCACTCTGAGATAATAGGCACGAGTTAAACAAGCTCTGCCATGCTTCTCTTGCAATCTGCTACTGCTGTGCCCTGTGGAAAGTCATTAGTCCAGGCCTATAGGCAATAAACTTTTGGAAAAGGAACAGAATTCCTTGGCCAGATGCTGCTTTGGTGACCCTCCAGTTCATGACAGTCCGTCTAGTGTAATGTTTCCTGCTGGGCATCTCCTGGTGTGACTCGGTGGTTGATTCCTTTACAGAATGGCAGAGCTGGGCATTCATCCCTCTGAGAACAAGGTGTACTTCGGGCAGTTGCTGGGCATGTGCGACCAGATTACCTTCCCTCTCGGTAAGTGCCTGGTGTGTCCCATTGGACAGGGTTCACTGTGCTGTGGGCGGGGGGGGGGGGGATAGAAGCCTCTTTTGGACAAGCTCCCCCTTGTGTGACTGCTACAGATGAAGTCATGGGGTAAAATGTGGTATTGAAGGGTACTTCACATGCTGCACATTCTTCAAACAGGTGGCTCCCATTGCCCAGAAATTGGCCAATGGGATTGTGCTGGGGGTGGGAGCAGCCCGTGGAGCACCACTCCCTCCTCCTCGGACTCACAACTGAGAGAGACACGGCAGTGGCAGGCGCT